TCCTGCCATTCATTGAGTGCTCCCTTGACTTGTCACTTCTTCCAAAGTGTATTACCTCACAATGATCAGGATTAAATTCCATCTGCCCATCTGACCAACCTATTTATATCCTCTTGTAAACTAACACTTTCCTCCTCATTCTCAATTCCCCAGCCAGTCTTCATGTCATCCCCCTTCACATTCTCATCTACATCATTTATGAATATCACAAACAGTAAGGGACCCAGCACTGATCCTGTGGTATGCACTTGACACGAGCCTCTAGTCACATAAACAGCCTTCTACCACCACCCGCTGTCTACTACCACTAAATCAATGCTCTGATTAAGAGTTATGGACTCAAAATGTTAACTCTGCTTACTTCCCACAGATGCTTCCAGACCTGCTGAGTTTCACCAGCAATTTCTGCTTTTGGTTTGGGTCCATTCTGCCAACTTACCAGAATCCCATGAGCTCTTTTTTTTTTAATCAGTTTCACATTTGGGACCTTCTCAAAGGTTTTGCTGAAATACTTAAAAACTACATCAACTGCCTTACCGTCATCAAAACACTTGGTCACTTCATTGAGAAATTCCACCAGATTTGTGAGGCATGATCTATCTCCCTCTGACATAGCATGCTGACTACCCCTGGTCAAACCTTGCCTCTCTAAATGGACATTAATTTTCTCCTTCATTATTTTCTCCAATGATGTTTTAAAAAATTGGGTCAAGCCTGGGATGCAGCTCATCCTGACCTGGGGATTTGTCCACTTTTAAAACCCCTTGATGCATCAATACCTTCTCGCTTCTTATATAAATTCACTCAAGAATTTCACATTCCATCTTCTCGAACTCTGTACCTGCATCCTCCTCCTCCCGAGTAAAGACAGATTTGAAGTGCTTAAGTCACACTTTACCAACATCCGGCTGCTTCATGCACAGATTGCCCTTTGGACCCCAGTCAGCCCTACCCTTTCCGTGGTTAGTCTCTTCTCTTTGATAAACTTGTAGAATATTTTTCTCTCTAATCTTCCCTGCCAGCATCTTTTCATGCCCCCTCTTTGCTCTCCTAATTATTTTCTTGAGCATCCACCTGTAAAGAACTCCCATCAATATTTGCTTCCCCTTGCTGTTTCTTAACTCCACCCAAACTAAGTCTGTATTTTAATGCTAAGCTTCTCTGCTACTTATGTGCTGATGTTATCCCTTAATTTCAGGGAAGGCAATGGTCTGTTGGCTCATAACCCAGCAAGTCTGAGGTTCAAATCCCACCACAGAAAATTATGAAATCTGAATTCAATAAAAAATTTGGAATTAAATGTCTAATTATGACAACGAACCTATTGTCATAAAAACCCATCTGACACATTTAATGTCCTTTAGAGAAGGAAATCTGCCGTTCTTATCTGGTCTGGCCTACATGTGATTCCTGACTCTCAACAATGTTCTGAAAAGCCTCTCAGTTGTATCCAAGGACAACTAGGGATGGGTCAGCTAACAAAACCTATATCCCATGAGTGAATAAAAAAAAAGGAGTGCTCCATCCCATCTCTTTACATGTTTAACTAATCCTCCCACCCACCTCCAGATGTAGAATTTCCTAGAATATTCAGTTCCTAATCTCGATTACTCTGCAGCTATGCATGCGTGATAACAAATAAATCAACTCCTTTCTCTTTAGAGATAGTAGGAACTGCAGATGCTGGAGAATCTGAGATAACAAGGTGTAGAGCTGGATGAACACAGCAGCCCAAGCAGCATCATAGGAGCAGGAAGGCTGACGTTTCGGGCACAGACCCTTCATCAGAAATGGGGGAGGGGAAGGGGGTTCTGAAATAAATAGGGAGAGAAGGGGAGGCGGATAGAAGATGGATAAAGGAGAAGATAGGTGGAGAGGAAACAGACAGGTCAAAGAGGCGGGGATGGAGCCAGTAAAGGTGAGTGTAGGTGGGGAGTTAGGGAGGAAATAGGTCAGTCCAGGGAGGACGGACAGGTCAAGGGGGTGGGATGAGGTTAGTAGGTAGGATATGGGGGTGCAGCTTGAGGTGGGAGGAGGGGATAGGTGGGAGGAAGAACAGGTTAGGGAGGCAGGGATGAGCTGGGCTGGTTTTGGGATGCGGTGGGGGAGGGGAGATTTTGAAGCTTGTGAAATCCACGTTGATACCATTGGGCTGCAGGGTTCCCAAGCGGAATATGAGTTGCTGTTCCTGCAACCTTCGGGTGGCATCGTTGTGGCACTGCAGGATGGACATGTCGTCTGAGGAATGGGAGGGGGAGTTGAAATGGTTCGCGACTGGGAGGTGCAGTTGTTTATTGCGAACCGAGCGTAGGTGTTCTGCAAAGCGGTCCCCAAGCCTCCGCTTGGTTTCCCCGATGTAGAGGAGGCCACAATGGGAACAGCGGATGCAGTATACCACATTAGCAGATGTGCAGGTGAACATCTGCTTGATGTGGGAAATCTTGGGGCCTGGGATGGGGGTGACGGAGGAGGTGTGGGGGCAGGTGTAGCACTTCCTGCAGTTGCAGGGAAAAGTGCCGGGTGTGGTGGAGCTGGAGGGGAGTGTGGAGTGGATAAGGGAGTTACGGAGAGAGTGGTCCCTCCGGAAAGCAGATAAGGGTGGGGAGGGAAAAATGTCTTTGGTGGTGGGGTCGGATTGCAGATGGCGCAAGTTTTGGAGGATGATGCGTTGGATCCGGAGGTTGGTGGGGTGGTACGTGAGGATGAGGGGGATTCTTTTTTGGTTGTTATTGCGCGGATGGGGTGTGAGGGATGAGTTGCGGGAAATGCGGGAGATACGGTCGAGAGCGTTCTCGACCACTGAGGTGGGGATGTTGCGGTCCTTGAAAAACGAGGACATCTGAGATGTATGGGAGTGGAATGCCTCATCCTGGGAGCAGATGCAGCGGAGGTGAAGGAATTGGGAATAGGGGATGGCATTTTTGCAGGAAGGTGGGTGGGAGGAGGTGTATTCTCGGTAGCTGTGGGAGTCGGTGGGCTTGAAATGGATATCGGTTTCTAGGTGGTTGCCCAAGATGGAGATAGAGAGGTCCAGGAAGGTGAGAGATGTATTAGAGATGGTCCAGGTAAACTTAAGGTTGGGGTGGAAGGTGTTGGTGAAGTGGATGAACTGTTCGAGCTCCTCGTGGGAGCACAAGGCGGCGCTGATACAGTCATCAATGTAAAGGAGGAAGACGTGGGGTTTATGGCCAGTGTAGGTACGGAAGAGGGATTGTTCCATGTAACCTACAAAGAGGCAGGCATAGCTTGGGCCCATGCAGGTACCCATGGCCACCCCCTTTATCTGTAGGAAGTAGGAGGAATTGAAAGAGAAGTTGTTGAGGATGAGGATGAGTTCGGCTAAGCGGATGAGGGTGTCAGTGGAGGGGGACTGGTCGGGCCTGCGGTACAGGAAGAAGCGGAGGGCCTTTCTCTTTATATTATGCACATTAATCATCAACCTTTTTGGGAATTCTGCACATATTCAGATAGAGTGTCATTAATTTAGCTATTTTAATATTATTCTCACTTTTTTGATCCTTTTTGATGCTTGCCATTTGCTTCATCTGTCTTCTGTTTTTGCTTTCTACTCTTCTACTTGTTTTTACTAGTTTTTCTTCTCTGGAATCAGAGCTCCCTCTGTGGTTCATGCCAATCTAGTAAGTGTAAATTGAAGGGGTCTTTCATTTATAATTGCTCTTTCTTACAAAGGATATATTTTGGGAATGGATCATTTTGGAAAAAAAGGGGAGTCAATGGCCCGAGTAGGATTACTCCTAAACTATTAATCCGGATACCCCAGTAATGTTCTGGAGACCCCAGTTCAAATCCCACCATGGCACATTGTGTAATTGGATTCTGTTAAAAATCTGAAATTAAAAGTCTAATGATGGCCATGAAACTGTTGTTGATTATTGGAAAAACCCATCTGCTTCACTCATGCCCTTTCGGGATGGAAACTGCTGTCCTTACCTGGTCTGGCCTACATGTGACTTCAGGTCCATAACAGTGTGGTTCACTCTCAACTGCCCTCTGGGCAGTTAATGATGGGCAATAAATGCTGGCCTAGCCAGAGATGTCCAAGCGCCATGAATGAATAAAAAGAAATTAAGATCATTGGGATATTGCAAAGGTTTCTATTATCGAGATGAATGGTCTGAAGTCTTCTTTGATCAGGAATTGTTAATGTAGAAATAAAGCTGACTTAATTGCTGTGATCAGTGTGAATCTTAATACAAACAAGTTATGATCCCTGCTCATTTAAATCTTTGATTAACTATTTGCAGATCTGACTCAATCTAATTACGCAAAAACAGGAACAGGAGTAGGCCATTTGGCTCCTCGAGCCTCCTCTGCCATTTAAGAAGATCATGGCTGATCTTATTAATTCATATTCCTGTCTGCTCCCAATCACTTTTCAAAATGCAGTTTTAACATTTCCCAGACAACAAGGTGCAGGCCAAGCAGCATCATAGGAGCAGAGAGGCTGACGTTTCAGGCCTGGACCCTTCATCAGAAAAAGGGTTAGGGTTTCCCATTATGGTTTCCCTTTATCCACAGCACAGTTAATTCATTAAACATGATTTTCCTTGCACAAAACTGCGTTGACTCTGCCTGATTACCTTGAACTTTTTGATGTGCCCTAACATGATGATTTTAATAGCTTCGAACATTTTCCCAATGACAGGTGTGAAGCTAAGTGGCCCATAGTTTCCTGCTTTCTGTCTCCCTCCCTTCTTGAATAAGGGTGGATGTTACTGTCACTATTTCCCAATCTAAAAGAACCTTCCCTGAATTTAGGAAATTAGGGAAAGTTAGAACTGACTCAACCATTATCCTACTATCTTTTAAGATCCAAGGATAGAGTCCATCAGAACCAGAACTTGCAGCACACAGCTCCAACAATTTGCTCAGGGACTTTTCCCTGATGACTGTCATTTTGTTGAGTTGCTCCCTTCTCTTCCATTTCCTGATTTACAGTGTTTGGCTCATTCTGTGCTTTTTCTGTACATTATTTACAGGTCAGAGAATGGCTTTGTTTAAATTGTCAGATGCAAAGAGCCCTTGGCATAGATATGACGACTGTGCCCAGTTCCAAACCACAACCTCTGCAGCCCAAGCAGCAGGAAGTGACTCTCTCTGCTTCACAAGCAGCCAAACAGGCTCCGATTCAGCAACCCACTGCAAAACCTGAACAGGCCAAGCCATTGTCACGCTCTGGATCCAGAAAGCAGCATCTCCTGACCAAGCAGCAATCAATGGTTGCTTCTCCTCCACTAAAGGCCAAACAACCATCACATGGGCCTGGGGATGCACAACCAAGACAGCACGCAGCCCAGAAACCACAGCCAGTGAAACTGACTCAGCAGCTGGTGGATCAACAAAAACAGCAAGACCTGAACAAACCTCCTCAACAAGTCAGTTCCACTGCACAAGGAGCAGAAAGCAAGCAACCCTTTCTGAGTCCCCAGGTTCAGGAAAAAGACTCCAAGCAACCCAAGTCAGTGACCCAGGACCAACAGCTCACTAAGAAGCAGGAGGACTCTGACATTAGAACACAGCGACAACAGCTGCAGAAAAAGGACGATTTGGTTCCAGGGACAAAATCCAATACTGGGATAAACAGTCAAAAGCAGGACATGACCCAGCAGAAACAATCAGTACAGATTCAGAAGCCAGTCGAAAAATCACAGTCCCCGAATATTAGCCCTGCTGCCCCTGAAGTGACCAAACAGCCTGCTTCAAAAGTGGAATCCAAGGCTGGTCACCCAAAGAAAGAACAAGCAAAGCTGACTCAGAAACCACCAGCTGCTAAAGTTGTACCATCACAGATTCCACCAGAAACTCCAAAAGCTCAGAAACCCCCAGAACAGTCAAGGCGTTTCAGCCTCAACTTAGGAGGTTCTGCACAACCACTGCAATTTCAGCCATCAACTCCTCCAGAGACTGTCACTGGAAAACTCTTTGGGTTTGGGGCATCTCTGTTCAGCCAAGCCTCAACTTTAATATCTGCAGCACCTCAGCAACACGAGCAACATGGACACACTGCAAAGCAACCCCCTCAGACAGCCTCCAAGGACAGCAGTGTTTCTCAGCAATCCCCCAAACGGGACCAACA